TGCAAGAAAGAGAGGGACTTTTCATAAGGACATGGAGTGGCAGGACAAGGAGAATGGCTTCAAATTCACAGAGTAGGTTTAGATTGGATATTAGGAAGAAATTCTCCCCTGTGAGGGTGGTGAGGCCCTGGCACAGGTTGCCCAGAGAAGCTGTGGCTGCTCCATCCCTGGAAGTGTCCAAGGCCACATTGGATGGGGCTTGGAGCACCCTGGGCTAGTGGAAGGTGTCCCTGCACATGGCAGGGGTGGGACGAGATGAGCTTTAAGGTCCCTTCCAACGCAAACCATCTGAGGATTTCTGTGATTCCATGGTTCCATGGTGTGTCTCTGCTGCTGATGCTGGAACATGTAGGAAAAGCCACAGTGACAGTTTCTCTCTCAGTGACAGACCTGGAAATCAAGTTCGAGTACCGAGGGAAGGAGACCGGACCCACGACGACCGTGAGCAACCCTCAGGGGTGCAGACTGTTCTACGGAGAGCTGGGCCCCATGCCAGACCAGGAGGAGCTCTTTGGGCCCATCAGTTTGGAGCAAGTGAAGTTTCCAGGAACGGAGCAAATCACCAACGAGAAGCAGAAGATCTTCACGAGTCGGCTGCTGGACGTTATGGACAGGGGGCTGATCCTGGAGGTCAGTGGCCACGCCATCTACGCCGTGCGGCTCTGCCAGTGCAAGGTCTACTGGTCTGGGCCCTGTGCGCCTTCCTCCACCACACCAAACCTGATTGAGAGGCAGAAGAAAGTCAAACTCTTCTGTCTGGAAACATTCCTGAGCGGTAGGTAACTTCTGCTTCTGGGAAGTGGCTTTGGGTGCTGGTCTGGGCACTGTTGGAAAGGGTTGGTCTGGGTGCACTGTTTATTTTGCTTGTGTGTGGAGTGTGGGTTGAGGCCACCATCTCCCTGACTTCCATGGAGCAGATGTGTGGCATAAGATAGGGAATGTACGCTCATTTAATGCTCTGAAAGACACTGGAGGGCCTTGCTTTTAGAAAAAAGCTCTTTGGGTACAAGAAATAATATGTAACTATGTATGTGTAAGAGGTGGCAAAGGACATTGTGTAGGGAAGACCTGGGATGATACAGTGAGGTGTGGTGGGGTGTTTCTAACTGACAGAGGACAACCCTGCATCATTCTGCTTTTCTTCCTAGAGCTGATTGCCCATCAGAAAGGACAAATTGAGAAACAGCCACCCTATGAGATCTACTTCTGTTTTGGAGAAGAGTGGCCCGATGGAAAGCCCAGGGAGAGGAAGCTGATTGTGGTGCAGGTAGGAGCTGAGGCTCTGAGGTGACACGTACAGGGTGGGTGGTCACAGGTTGGACTTGAGGATCTCTTCCAGCCTAGTTAATTCTGTGTTTCTGTGCCAGCCTTGTTGGGTTTGATGTGTTGTCTCTGGATCAGTGCCCAAGCATAGCAGAGACCTGTGGCTTCTGACACTGGGAAAACCCCAGTAGGGCTGGTGAGTTTGGGGAGAGCAAACACAAACATTACATGTGTTGGATAGAATCAGTCTGTGAGTGCTCTTTAGATTATTGTGGAAACCACCCCCAGCATCCAGAACGGGGGCTTCCTGCAAAATAACGGGGATATTCTGTGTGCCACTGGCCTGAAACAAATGCCTTCCTCTCAAACAGGTCATCCCAGTTGTGGCCCGGATGATCTACGAGATGTTCTCGGGTGACTTCACGCGCTCCTTCGACAGCGGCAGCGTGAGGCTGCAGATCTCCACCCCTGACATCAAGGACAACATCGTGGCCCACCTGAAGCAGCTCTACAGGCTGCTGCAGAACCACCAGGAGGGGTGGCCCATGCAGGCCCCCCCCCTGCACATGGCCCAGCCTCTCCCGGCGCAGTGACAGACCCCCGGCTTTGCCCCCCCTCCGGGGTTTTCTTTCTGTTGTACATATAGAAAAGTGTTTCTTAACCAGTGCCTTGCCTAAACCTGAATAAAAAAAAAAAATCTGTAAATCTGGTCATCTTGATTCCATAGTTTCATAGGTGCTTTTGTTTTGGAAGCCCTCAAAGCAGAGGGGATTACAGGAATGCTTCTGACTCCTTCACCCTTTTCAGCTGTTGGCTTAAGCAACCCCTGTGTATAAATCAGATTTTCAATTCTGTAATATTTTTTTAATCTGCTATTGATACATTGTATATAAGCGCTTGATCATTAGAGGGGGAAAAAGAAAATAATCTGCTCTATTAAAACTGCCTGGAGAATATCACCTTGTCTATTTTTTTCTCTTTAACTGGGCTGTAGCAGCGAGCTGGGATGCTGATGCTTCTTCTACTGTGCTTTTTTTATAGGGGTGTGTATACACAGGCACTGTAAATGCATATATCACAGAGTTTCTAGGGTTGGAAGGGACCTCTGGAGCTCATCTAGTCCAACCCCCCCTGCCAGGGCAGGGTCACCTGGAGCAGGTGACACAGGAATTTGTCTTTAAAAAAACCCCAGCTCTGCAAACTCAGAGAAGCCACCTGGAGAAGAGAAGACTCTGGGAAGAACTTAGAGCACCTTTCAGTACATAAAGGGGCTTCAACAGAACTGCAGAGGGATTTTTTTACAAGAGTATAGAGCGTTAGGACAAGGGGGAATGGTTTAAAACTAAAAGAGGGAAGATTTAGGCTGGATATAGGGAAGAAATTCTTCTTTCTGAGGATGGTGGCACAGGTTGCCTAGAGAAGCTGTGGCTGCCCCATCCCAAGTGTCCAAGGTGAGGTTGGACAGGGCTTGGAGCAACCTGGGCTAGTGGGAGATGTGAGGAGGGGATGACACTTAAAGTCCCTTCCAACCCAACCCACTCAGCGACTCTGTGAAGCTGTAATGTCACATCACAGCTCTGCGCGCTGGGCGATGCCTCTGGCCGTGCCCCCCTCCTTCCCCTCCCCGAGCTCTGAGGTTCCTCCCTATTTCTGCTCCCAAACAGCCTTTTCCTTATCCACGGCTCCGCCCGAGAAAGTCGCTCCACGCGGGGCCACGCTTCGTTAAACCCGCCCCGGGAGCGGGGCCGGGCTTGGTTAGACCCGCCCCGGGATGGGGGCTGTGCTTAGTTAGACCCGCCCCGGGATGGGGGCTGTGCTTAGTTAGACCCGCCCCGGGATGGGGGCTGTGCTGGGTTAGACCCGCCCCGGGATCGGGGCTGTGCTGGGTTAGACCCGCCCCGGGATCGGGGCTGTGCTGGGTTAGACCCGCCCCGGAACCGAGGGCCCTGCGGTGTCTCCGGGTCCATGGCCCTGGGGGGAAGCGCCCTGTCCCCTGCGCTGCTGGTGGCGGCGGCTCGGGATGCTCTGAGGTCTCGGGATGCTCTGGGGTCTCGGGATGCTCTGGGGACTCGGGATGCTCTGGGGACTCGGGATGCTCTGGGGTCTCGGGATGCTCCGGGTACAGGGAGCAGGACAAGGCGGCGGCTGCCGGCGGCCCGTGCCCTGCACGCTGCCGGGGAGGTGCTGGCGGTGTCGGCGGGGCTGAAGCCGGCGCTGCTCTGGGACTGCGGGGCCGCGGGACCCGCCGAGCTGCGGCGGTACCTGCGCGGGCTGCGGGCTGCGGGGCTGGCCCCGAGCCGCCTCCACGTGCTGGGCATGGGGGGCTCGGCGCTGCTCCTGCACCCGCCGCTGGCCCGCGGCAGGTTGGAGGGGATGCTCCGCGCCCGCCCCGCGCCCTTCGTGGATGTCTCCGCCGGGAGGGGATGCCCCGCGCTCTGCGGGGAGCCGGAGGCCGAGGCCATCAAGGGCCACCTCGCCTCCCTGCTGGACCACCTGCGGGATGCCGAGGCCGCCGGCGCCGGGCCGGTGTCCTGCAGCGAGGTTGTGGCCGAGGACTGGAACCTGTGCACCGTGGTGGGGGTGCTGCTGGGGTACCCCGCGGTGTACACCTTCAACAGGGAAGAGGGCGCCGAGAACTGCCTGGCACTGACACCGCTGAGGGTGTTCACGGTCCAGGCCTCCTGCCCCAGGATAAAGGACGGTCTCAGGGTCCAGATTTACTCCTTCAGCATCCCAGAGAGCCTCCACACGGAGCTGGGGGAGGTGCTGGATGCCTGGTGTGACGAGCTGAAGGAGGCATTCAGTGCTCAGAGTGACTTTGTGGATCTCTGCATTTCCAGCGAGGTCGTGTCTCTTCCAGCAGTTGCCTTGTAAAACATGAGCAAACTCGGACTTTTTGGCCTTACTTACATCGGGGACTGAGGCAAAAGATCCAGTTCCCCTGTGTGTGACCCACTGAGCACCAAAGGCTGAATTGTGACAGTCTCATGCTCCTGACCTCACGGGCCAGTGGCAAAACAAATACATAAAGAAGACAAGTGTGTGGACGTGTGTGCTCACAGTCCTGCCTGCAGATTGTGCCCTGTAAGGGTGTACTTATTTGCTGTGAGCAGCTGAGGGTGAATAAAAGCTTTGAACACCATGGTACTTTGAATTTGTGAAGTTTATTGGAGGCTCCATGTTGTATTTACTGCTGGTCGTAGCTGAGCCTCTGCATGAATGAGGGGCAAGTTCTGTAAAACCTGCACAGTGCAGCTGAAAAGGGGCTTAAAACCTGTGTCTCTCTCAAATTAATGTGGTGCTGGCAGTGAAAGGGAAGCAGGTGTGGCTGAGGGAATGCTTGGCCACAAGACAGGCTAGAAAAGCAGGATAGAACAGGGCCTGGTAGATGGGAGGTGGAAAAATTGCTCAGAACAGGCATGAGGATAAAACAAGGGGACTGTGCTAAAGAGCCTCCCTGAGCCAGGTTTCTTTGTCAGGTACAAGTAGAGATGGTCCAGGTCAAAAACATCCCATACAGGGAGGCAGTAAATAAAGGAAGGGAATTCTGGGGGCAAAAAACCCAGGGAGGCTGGATCCCAAGGGCATGGGATGCCCCGTCCCTCCCTCCCTGTGTGAGACCTGTCAGTGATGACCAGAGTGGCTTCGTCCTTCAGTGCCACGGGGGACAGGGCAGTGCAACCTTCAGCTGGAACAGAGTAACCAAAGCAGCTGAGGGAAGGGGTGATATTCCAGCATTTATTGGGAGTTTGTCTGGAGTGAGACCAGCTCAGGATGTGAACCAAACGTGCAGGTACAAAACGGCAGAAGGTGCACTGAGGTCACAGACTTTTGGGGAAGCACAGTCAGTTCCTGCAGTGAAGTCAGTCATCAGGGAGGCCCTTCATGGCCTGTAGCTTGCCAGGAAGGTGGCAATGGCCACTGCTGTGAGTGCCACCAGGAGGGGGATCCAGTGACCATGCTGCCTCTGCAGGGAGAAGCAAGTGTTAGTGGGAATTTCACAGAGTTGGAAGGGACCACAGGGATCATCAAGTCCAACTCCTGGCCCTGCACAGGACTATCCCCAGGAGTCACACCGTGAGCCTGAGAGCATGATCCAAATGTTCCTTGAGCTCTGTCAGGCTTGGAGCTGTGACCACTTCCCTGGGGAGCCTGTTCAGTGCCCAACCACCCTCTGGGGGAAGAACCTTTTTCTAACACCCAACCTAACCCAACTCCAGGCCATTCCCTCAGGTCCCCTTGCTGCGGAAGAAACCTCTCATCTCATCCCTAGCAGACATGTCACTGATCTTTCCACACTGGGGGGGGGTTTCCCAGGCTGATGTGCAGCACTGGGGTTTGGGGTTGGGGACCCCCACCTTGGCCCGCTGGCTGTGGGAGCGGTTGAGCTCGTCGCGGCACTGGCGCAGCCTGCTCAGGCAGGAGCGGTACTCCTCGCTCAGGGCCTCCAGCTCCGAGCGCAGCTCCCAGCACTGCAAGCACAGCAAGGGGGGGTTACCGGGGTGGGTCCCCTCCCTTTTGTACCCAAGCAGCCTGGCAGGGCCCCCGCAGAGGCTGCAGAGCTTCACCCGCGCGCGGGCACCGCCCGGACCGGGGGGTCTCGCTCCTGCTGCCCCGGTGTCCACGTGTGCCTGGGTGTCCACATGTACCTGCAGGGAACAGAGCAGATCTCGGGGTTACTGGGAATGGGGTGGTGGAGGCAGTGCCCAGTCTGTCACCAGCCCTGCTTGGCTTTGCTGCCAACCTTCACATCCCACCGGAGAAAGGAGGGACAGCGATTTTTATGACCGGGAAGAAGACGTGCAGTGCAAACTCCTGTCAGGGTTTGCCTCAGTCTGAAATTCATTCTCCATTTCACTGACCCCACAGGAATCCCAGAGCCCTTTAAACCCTCTGAGACATAGGACACATGGGACAGCTTGGTTGTGCTGCACAACCCCAAAACCCAGGGAGAGCCCTTTCCTGAAGGGCCCATGGCACCAGACCCTGCTGCCATTCTGATGAGCAGAGCATTGGCAGCAGCTGTGGAAGGAGCTGCCCGTGCCCAGAGGCTTCAGGAGCCAAACAGGGGGCAACTGGGCCCCCTCCCCAGCTGTTCCCTCTTGTTGTGATTGTGCTTTATAAACCCTTCCTCAGGGGGTGCTGGGTAAGACCTGTTGGTGCTGGTCTTCTCTCTCTTTTGGATTAATATGACAAGCTCTTCTCCTGTGTGGCTCTCAGCTCTGCTACAGTAAGTTATAAATCATTTTTTATAAGTCCCTTTTTAATAAATCCTTGCTGTCTGAACACTGCTTGTGGGGCTGTTAGTTGGCAGAAGGATAATTTGATGGAAAGGAATGTGTAAAAGGCTGGAAAGGCTTGTTTGGTTTTTTTTTGCAGCCCAGTGGCAAGGGCAGTGCTTTTGTTAGCAGGCTCTGCCTGTTATTCATATTATTGTTATTATTGCAAGCCTTTTTTCCCCTTCTCTCCCTCCTTTGTGCTCAGGGTTTTGGTTCTTAATGTGGCTTTTTCCTGTGAGGCTCTTGAGACTCTTGCCTGTGCCAACAGAAATGGGTTTGTGTGGAGAGGGCTCTGCTGCTACTGCAAAGGGCTGCTGGTACCTTGTCCTTCCATGGAGGTGCTTTACTGGAGATTTAGGCAAGGCTGGTATCAGGATAAAAATTCAGCAGAGAGAATCCTTACAGGGGACACCAAGTTTGAGTTACCTCCAGGACCTTTGGTGTGTTGTGTTGCTGCTGGAGCTCTTAAACCAGCAACAATTCAGTGACTTCCTCACCTCATTCTCCTTTGCTGTGAGCTGGGATGTCTTTTTCTGCATCTCATCCTTCAGACTTTCTTCTCCCTCCTCCTCCTCAGGGTGCTCTAACAGAGTGTTTTGGTTTTCCTTGGCAGGAATGAGAGGTGGGGTCTGGGTGGTGAAAACCTGGTCTAGAAAACAGTCAGGTTGCTGATGAGAAACAGGTCCAGGCTCTGGGTTTGCTTTAGGTCTTGTTTACTCGGCAGTTTAAGGATAATATTTACATGTTACACACACAGCAGAAGGCACAGGAGCTCAGTTCATTATCACAGGCCTGTCTCTGCTGTAGCTACATGTTAATTATATTTAGAGCAATCTTTCTCAGTAGTTGCCAGAAATGGAGGGGAGGGATATCTAAAATGCATTTTATTACTTTTTTTTATTCAAGTACAGCTGTAATTGCAATTATAAACTGGAATGTGTTTTGTTTGGGAAAAAAAATGGCATAGCCACTGAAGTAGAATTTGCAATGAAATCCATTTATTTTTAAAGTGTTTGCCATCATAAATACATTTCTGTTTTGATGTTGACTAGCAAAATGTAATAACTTGTTTTGTGCAGCTCTAAAATAATCCTTTATTCTAAACCAGTGTAGACTTCTCCTAGAGTCAGGACTAACATTCTTGTGTCCAGTGAGTGCTAGGTGGGGGTTACAAAGTTTGCTGACCTTTCCTTTGCACTGCCACCTCCTGGCTCTTCTGTTGGTTGTTCTGGATCAAGTCTGTGAACCCAGAAAGGCACATTATTGTCCACAGCACCTACAGAGGCCTCTTACCTTGTGCATCTCCGTGGTACTCACTGTGCAGATGGCTGACTGTTGCCTCCAGCATTACCTTCTGCTTTTGCTCTTTTTGCAGTTTGTCTGAAATAACGACAGAGGGAAACCAAGGTTGTTGTAAATCTCTGTATCTTTGTGTGACTTTCCCCTTCTCCACAGGTGTAAAGTGGAGCAGATATTGTTGCCTACACCAAACTTCCTTCTCTGAAGGGATGTGATTTTCAGCTGTTCATTGCCCTTTTGGTTTTGGCAGCTTTTCCCACTGTGCCTTGCGTTCTACTAATTTAAGATTTATTTTAAAGCTGTTTGTGCGAGACTTATATGAAATTAGAACTGCCACCCATTTGCTCTTCCTTAGTCATGTTTTAAAATAGCCATGTGAAGTTTGCTTGTCTCTATCCAAAACAGTGGTCTAGGACACTATTAGCTCATATTTACAGGCTGGTAATACCCACCACAAGCAGCACCTCAGACAGTAACAGGCACTGCATTGCTGTGTTTGATGGGTCTGGAAGGATGCAAAGCCCTCATCAAAACTGAGAACTCAGCTTTGATTTATTATTTTTTTTGTTGTTGTTCAGGTCTCCCAGGCCATCCTTTCTTCTAGGAAAGTCACTTGACTTCTCTGAAGTCCTTTAATCTAGCTGGAAATGGCTTTTGGGGGCCCTTTGGAAATCAGAAGCTGAGGTGTGCAGCGCATTGAAAGCAAGCAGGTCTTCTGTGTGTGTGTGTGTGTGTGGCTTCAAGGACCAGAATTTCAAGAGTACTTCCCTTATACCCTCTGGCACTATTTCCCTGCACACAATACCTTCGATGGCACTGATGTGCTGGGCCTTGAGGTCGATGTCCTGGCTCAGGGCAGTGGCTCTCAGGTGGAGCGCGGCGTGTTCGCTCCGCAGGCTCTGCAGCGCCCGGTGCAGCTCCTCGTTCTGTGCCTCTGCTCTCTGGGGCCAGGAGAGAACCATGGGGTGGGTTGGGATGGGGAGACCTTAAAGCTCATCTTGTTCCACCCCCCCTGCCACCTTCCACTAGCCCAGGTTGCTCCAACCCCCGTCCAACTTGGCCTTGAGCACTCCAGGGATGGGGCAGCCACAGCTTCCCTGGGTGAACTGCTGCGTGGAGGCTGTTCCTGCAGGGAACCAACATTCCTGCAGGGAATTAACATTCCCGTGGGGAACCAGCGTACCTGCAGCTCACTCTGTAAAGTGTGGAAGCTGTTTCTGAGCTCGCTGTGGGCCGTGGTCACCTTGGTGAGTTCGGCTTTGAGGGCAGTGTCGTGCTCTTGCCAGAAGGCGAGGTCCTCTCTCGTGGCTGCCAGGCTTCTCTGGGGGAGAGAGCAAGGGTTGGGCTGGGACCCACAGCCTGCTGGGACCATGGCAGGC